GGTGGCGAGGCCAAGACAGAGGCAGTTAGGGGTGATCAGGCTGGCAGATAGGCAAGGGGTTAGAAGCCAGTGGTCCTGGATTTCGAGAGGGATGTCCAACTGCCGTGGGATCAGGCCTAAACTGGCAGTTGGACATCCCCTGAGGGGTCCCAGGTTAGAGAGGATGCAGGCCTGGCTGAGCAACACCCCCCTTCCATGCATGAATTTTGTGCACCAGGTCTCTAGTTCTCTATATAAAGGTAACTAGGCAAACCTATTTTTATACTAAAATCTTTCTTTTCTAGAGACTTGAAGGGCCCTATACATATTGTCAGAAGGCATTCCTTTTAGGGAGAAGGAAGAGATGAGAAAGAGTATTTCCTTTTATAAATCCTGTTTTGAGTCATGGTCATATTATTCATCCAGCAAGGAAGAGATAGCTAAAGACATTTTAGAAAGCTAGAAACGAGTCTGTCTTAGCTCAGAGATGTTACATTCTTTCCCAAAGGGCACAGAGCTCATATATAGAATAGGCTTTCAAATTCGGGGGTGTCTAAAGATGGATTCCAAGGTTTTTCCACCCCATGGCTTATATCATACATTCCACCACACTCTTATAAAGCTGCATTTATGGACTCCACTGAAAATACATGCCCGCCCCACCCCCACCACCCCACAGCAAGGTAATATAAAGTTGTTAATCCAATCATGTATATGCTCTGTCTCTTTTGTGTCTGCGAGGCACCTGGCCAGGTCAGGGTGGAGTACTACAGGTTTATGTGGGTCTTTAACTTAATTATCTCTGGATTCTTCCAGGCAATATGACAACACAGGCTCATTCCTTATAGGTGAGATAAACGTAAGGTGGAAAGGAACTGTTTCAAATGTCTTACCAGGACTTAGCACTGGTCATAATTTTTATGTGGTAAGTAAAATGATGGTGTAAGAAAAACCCTGCAGATGGGCAGGACCGGTTGTGAAACACCTCTCAAGGGCTTGGAAAGTTCTATTTTCTTCTGAGCTATATCTCCTGAATTGTCTTTCCCGGGAACCATCCTGGCCAGATCTACACAGTATGGGCTTTACAAATCTATGCCGTTTCTTTGTGCTCTCCTCCTTTAGGCCTCTACATGGATACTTTTTGCCATTTTTAGATTTCAGGTTTCCTTCCTCAACTTCCATAAAAGCAAAGTGCTGTTCTCCTGTGAGTCCCCTCCTTGAAATCATTGTGTTACAACACTGTGGGCTATCTGATGGTTAAAACTAAAATAGCAATACGACAACAAAGCCTCATCTTCTAAGCGCAGGTTTCCCATGCCCTTGTTGGCCCTCCACTTCCTTTGCCTAATTTAGATGTGTAAGCTCAACGCACAGGCACTCTGTTTATGTACATCTGGTGCCTCGCACTAGTCTTGGATTTAACAAATATTAAATAATCGTGACTTCAGGATGATTATTTGTATTGGCATTTAAAAAAAAAATCACAGCTGGCAAAAATGCAGCCCTTTTCACTCAAGTGCTCTTGTCTGGCTTTGACACTCCCGAAGCAGACAGCTGTATTATAACATACGTGCATTTCCCTGGGAAGATCACGTGGAGACCAGAGCTGGCAATAACGGTGGCTGTTCTTTCTTTCGGAACACATTTACAAATTCTGCTCGGCATACCAGCTTGCTTGTGGATATAATTTCAGTGCATATAGGTAATGGCCTTCACCTAACTGGAGAACCCCATATACAATTTTATACAATGCTCCATTATGATATTGTAGAATTGTTTCACTGGGTTAACTTTGGATGTTTGTAATAGAAGGCTTTTTTTGCTTGTTTGTTTGTTTTTGTTTTAAATGATTAACTTGAGCATTCATGACCTGCAGTATGGACTTTAAAAATCTATGCATTATGTATGCATTGATTGTGTAGTAGTGGCATTTACATTGTTAAGTTTTAAAGTGAAGTCCTTAATTGTACCTCTTTTCAGGTTTAAAAAAAAAAATTAGTCTGTATATCTTTCCTAAACCCCTTTACATTGGTAGACTAATTTTTGGACTACAGTTTTACAGGGCAACTCATAATAATAAGTGCCAAACACTGGCAAAAAAAAAAAAGTAATTGGCGTGGATCAAAAGTTTAACAGTGCATTTCCTTTTAGAAATGTCAGCATCTGCTTTCTGACAATCCTATCAAATAAAGAGGGAATAGGCTAATTGACTGCCACACCCTCAACAATGGTGGCGCCCACAGCCACAAGATGGTGGTGTCCAGATACCATCAACCCCGCTGAGGTGGCAGGCATGCAGCACAGCTGGGCCCACCCCCAGACAGAGTGCCCCAGTCCCCTCAACTCCCCAGTCCCCTAGGGCAGGCCTGAGGTGCCGGCAAGCCTCAGATGGCAGCTGCCCAGCCACCCAGGGCCACCCAAGGCTCAGGTAACCAGGGCTGGCTGAGGCTTGCGATGCCGGCAGTGGCAGCAGCAGAGGTGAGATGGGGTGTTGCCTTCACCTAATTACTGGGTTGCCTCCCACCCCTGAGGGCTCCTGGACTGTGAGAGGGGGCAGGCCGGGCTGAGGAACGCCCCCCTCCAGTGCATGAATTTTCATACACCAGGCCTCTAGTAAGGAAATAAAGAAGGTTGTTCTCTCCACTGGCCCAATATTTCAAATGTGAACAAATCAATGCAAGAAAGTAGTTATGTCGGTGTAAGGGAAACAATAATTTAACTAGATAGAACAGTTTTACTTGATAGTTTAAATATTTTTGGATTTATATATTTAATTTTATGTTGACAGCAGAACCAAGGTTAACAATACTGATTCATGAGAGAAGAAAAAATGGGAGGTCTTAGAGCCAGTTCTAAAACACCTAAGTATTTACATGACATCTACATTCATGTCTTTCTGACTTACGTGTCAGCATCCTCAAAACGGAATTTATTATGACTTATGTAAAATCAAACCTGAAAGTCTGATTCTAATTGTGCTTCTGATGCACTGCATCTACCTAGTTCCATGAGCTCTCTCCTGCAAACACACTGTATCTCTCCCTGGGCACCTGTCCCTGGATTCTCCACAGGACTCTCATGAAGGCTGTTTGCAGGTGAATACACTATTTCCTAGCAGTGTGCTCACTGAGCACAATACAATGTCTACACTACAGCTGCTCTCCTCAGATTCTGACTGCCCTGACCACAAGGGTAGAGGTTACTGCAAGACAATGGGAAAAAAATGTGTTGTGAGGAGGGGAGATGAGGGATGACTTTAATAGGAGAGGAGGTGAGGGATGTCTTTAATGAAATTCAACCACACCCACTCTAGAGCTTGTCTTGAGAGGGTTGGAAGGACCTGAGAAAATGGTAACCGGAGGAAGTGCTTGTCTTAGCAGAGCAGGGTAGCTTCCTGGTGCACTCTCTCGCCCTCACCATTGTCCTAAGGGAGGTGAGTAAATGAAGCAAGTGCTGGCACGTGGAACCAGCGCCCACACAGCCAGGGAAGGGACCATGTTTGTCTTATTTACCATTGGTATTCCAAGGATCAAGATCAGTACCTGGCACACAGCACTTAATAAATATTGATTGACTGATTGAATGGTGGGTACTCAAGGTGAGTTTTGTGTGTGTGTGTGTGTGTGTGTGTGTGTGTGTGTGAGCAAAATGACCTTCTCTCCCTAGTTAGATGGATATATATATATATATATATATATATATATATATCCATCCTAATCTTGTGTCATAGTTGGACTCATGGGAATTTAAAAAAAATTATTTTAACTGAATTTTTAAAGATGACTCTAAACATCTAATTTACATGATAGATTTAGGAATGTATTAGATTTTTACTCTTGGAAAGACCCAGGCTTTTAAAGTTACAAGTAGAATGGTATGTAGGCCAGGACTTAAAATGTATTTTTGGACTTAAAAACCCTATGTTCTATGTATCCTCTAAGAATTTTTCTAGATAATATGATGGTTGTAGGGACAGAACAAAGAAATTTTCACGTTTAAACCTGCGTTTATGATACAGCACAAGAGATGGTTTACCTGGATGATGGCTGGACAGTTTATCTCAGGTGAATTGGCAAACATTTTGTGTCTCATTCTGTTGTCCATGTTATACCAGGCACCCTGTTGGTGCTTTAATGGTAATAAAACAGCAATGCACGCCCAGGTCAGATGTCCTAGATGTTCAATGGTGATTAGCATTATTAACATATGCAGATAAGTAGATTATTCATAGGGGGGAAATTAGCTTTGATTGAAGTTAAATGATAGCTTAGAGGCCAGTTAGTCATTCTGTTGGTGGATCAGATACTATTATCCCTTACCTGAGGTCATGGGTGCAATTTAGAATCATAGCAGAGCATTCAGGAAAAAAAGAGCTGGGTTGGCATCTGCAATTCATAACTTTCTGGCCGTGGGAACCGGGGTTCCTGCCTGCTGCCCACGCTTTGAAGGGCCCTTCCCTAGCTTTACCCTTCCACACACCTTAAGGAGTTCGTTCCCAACTCTTGTAGCTCCCGGAACCCTGGAACTTACTGTCCTGTCACTTGGAGGCCTGATCTTCCAAGCACGCAGGACTCACCACGGGTGGCTTTGGGGAGGGGTCTGATGCAGTTTCAATGTGCCTGCTGGGGTGTCCTCATGGGTGTGAGTATTTTTGTGGTATGGGAAGGAGCTGAGATGGGAAGGATACAGGGTGTGAGTCTCAGGCTAGAAGCCAGCCCTCCCTACAGCACCATGTTCCTTGTTAACGCAGAGCCTTAGGTATGTATGATAGGGTCTGTGGCTCTCCATTTGTCAGCTTGTCCCAGGCCCTTCCAAAGTTAAAGGCAGGCCTGGAACCAGGGCAAGTCAGGCCGCCTATTTTAGTCTCAGTTTCCTCATCTGTAAACAAGATAATAACTGTTCCACGAAGGAACAGGATGATGAGAATGATCTTAAAAATAACTATCCTTTGTTGGGTGCATGCAATGGTTCGAGCACTACGCGGGACACTTTGCATACATTATAATCTTCAGGGCACGCAGTTCTTGTGCATTTTTATAGAACAGAAAACAGGCTCAGGAGGGTTTCTCTCCCAGCCTGCTCCCCCCTCCACCCCACCACTGTCAGAGACAGTAGTGAGGTAATATATCTAACAATCTCATACACACAATGTAATACCATAGTTATTCATTCATTTACACTGTGTCTTTGGAAATAGCAGTGAATAAAAGGAACAGGAATCATTGACTTCGGCAGCATACATTATAGTGGAGGAAGACAATAAGTAAAACAAATTATATAGTATGTTATGATGATGGCAAGGAAAGGAAGAGAACTAAGGCACGGATGTTACAGGGAAAAGAAGACTCGAATGAAGACGTGAAGGAGGTAAGGAAACAACATCCTAGGTTTTGTTCTGTTTTGGGTGGGTTGTGGGGAGTGCAGAGATCATTCCGGTGGCAGAGGCCCAGCAAAGGGGAAGGCCATGAGACTGGAGCTTGCTCATTGTGTTTCAGAAACAGCATGGAGGCCAATGGGACTGGAAAAAACAAGTAAGGAACACAGTAGTAGGAGATGGTCAGAGAGAGCAGGAATATTGAGGCTATAGTAAGGACTCTGGCTTTTAGCTTAAATGAGATGGGGAGCTAGTGGATTTTTTAGTCTTTTTTTTTTTTTTTTTTTTTTTTTTTTTTAAAGCAGAGGAGTTGAGCTGGACTGAAAAGACTCAAAGTATACTGCTGGAGGCAAGCACCAAAAGAGGGAGATCCGGTAGGTGGTTTTTGCAAAGTGTAGGCACAAGTTGATGCTGACCAGGATCATGGGAGCAGAGGTGCTAGGTGGAGCTTGGATTCCAGATATGGTACTTTGAAGGTCAAGCCAACAGGTTTATTGACCCTGTGGTCAGCTGGGCAATTGGAAGGGTGTAGGTGGCATTGACTGGAATGGGAAGCTGTGGGAGGGCGCATTGGGGCAGGTAATCTGGAGCCTGGTCTGCACATGTTAATTCTGAGATGTGCATTAGACATAGGATGGAGGTGTCAGGTATTATTTTTTCACCTCATTGGATTTGATTTTCTTCTTCTCTCCGTACAGTGCTATGACACTTATTCATATTCTTTGCTCTCAAGGTGGTGGTCCATGCCATGGAGAATTTGATGCTAGGATTCAACCAAGGGGTGAAAGAAACAAGGGGAAGCAGTTTCAGTAAGAGGAATACAAAAGGGTCTAGACGAGATACAATTTTATCCAGTCTCATAGGGTTACACAACCCTTTCTCTAATTAGCAGCCACATAGGTCACTTAAGGACCCTCAAATGTTTGCTCAAGGGTTTAAAATAAACTAGATGTTAAAAAGGTATGTTTGAAAATTGGAAAATGTACGAGGTTCAATGTACGAGGTCACAAAAGTAACAATCCTCCTCTAAGTCTAGCCTCCACATAGACATCAGAACATGAACTTGTTGGGAAAGGAGGAGGTGGGGAGACAGATAAAAATAAAACCCCAGGACCAGAGCTGTTCCTGGTGCTTGGCTGACCTCACACACCTTGACCTGGCTCCGGAAGGGAGGGGGTGGGGGGGAGGACACGAAGCAGCAGGAGTGGTAACATCTTAAAGGGCTAGGTTTCAGCGTCCTCTGCACCCAGTGAGCCCCACTTGAAACTCAGGATCAAGACATTTGCTCTGCCTCAGGCAAAGCCCGATGGGCCCATGCCTCCGATTAGGTCACAAGACCTTCCAGGTCTCACTCACACCTTTCCATCTGGCATGCTTTCGTGTCTGGGGTGGGGTTGGGGGGGGGGGTCTAGTTGTGTTGATCCTGGCACGTTTCCATCTCCTTCATTTCGTGGCCATTCCAGTGTTCTGATGGTGCCAGAAGGAACGCTTTCTTCCCCGCAGCAAGTGACAAATAAAACAAAATAAATCCTTAGAGGATTTATCGTCTGGGAAGCGGCTAGGCGCCAACCCCCTGGGTTCAAAACGATGGCCCAGTGCAGGGGGGGCCGGGACCCCGGGACCAGGGCCACCTCCTCGGGGCCAGATGGTTGCGAGGCTGTGACCAGCTCCTTCGCGTGTACCCCCCTCCCTTCCCCCGTCGCCCCTCCCCGCTCTGCTTGGGGCTCACCTGGCAGAGCCAAAGGTGAGGCTCCGGAGCGAGGGCGCGGCCGGCCGGCGGGCGGGCGCCGAGCCGCGAGGGAGGGGGCGGGCCCGGCGCACTGGCCGCCCCGCCCCGCGATGATGCAGCGCCCGCCGACTCGCCTCCGGGCCGTCACTCACCCTCACCATGGCTGCAGCACAAAGCAGCCAGCCCGGGAGGCCGCTTCCTCCCTGAGGAGCGGCTCGGGCGGCCGGAGCAGACGCGGGGAGGAGGAGGAAGAGGCGGAGGAAGAGGAGGGGAATCGCCGCTGCTTCCCAAACACTCAGCTGCGGGGGGCTGTGCGCGGCCCGCGGCTGCCTCCCCGCCCTCCCTCGGACCCGGGCCCTTCCCCAGCCCCAGCCCCGCCCGCACCGGGAACAAAGTTGCGGAGGGAGCGCCTGGGCCGGAGGCTGCCGCCCGGGCCGTGCGCTCTGGCCGCGGCGGCGCCGGCGCCGGGGAAGGAGCTGCGCTCGGGGCGCGCGGATGGGGGGCGGCGGCGGCGGAGCCTGCGGCGGCGGCCGGAGCTACGGAGGCGGCGGCGGCGGCGGCGGCGCGGCGGCCCGAGGGGATGCAGCAGCAATCGGGAGGCACGGCCGAGCCCAGTAGACGATCCTCCGCAGCGGCTGGGACAGCGGCCGAGGCGGTCGGGCTTCGCGGCGCCCGGACCTGAGCCAGCTCAGCCAGCCAGCCTTCCTTCCCCGCGGCGCCCCGGAGCCCGAGAGGACTGGGGGCAGCGCGGGCGATCGGAGCGTTTCCCGGAGACCCCCGAGAAGGGGAGGGGGCGCCCCTCCGCGCGGGCGGGGAGAGGAGGCCCCGCCTGCACGCAGCCCTACCCCTCCTCACCGTCGCCCGCACCTCCCTCCCTAAAAATAACTCCGGCTCGCCGGGGCCAGGAGGAGCCGCCACTGTCCCCCCAGCGGCGGAGCCGGGGAGGCGTGTCCTGCCAGGGCCCGGAGGGAGCCGGGCGCGCCAGGAAGCCTTCGCCCGGCCCAGCGGCGGCGAGGGATCGGAGGAAGGGGACTTCCCGGCCGCCGATCGAGCCGCAGCGACCCTCCGGGCGGCGGGACCCCGGAGCTGCGCGGGGCCTCGCTCTCCAGCCGGGGCTCCCGCGCGCCCGTCCCGCGCCCCGCGCCCCCGGCCCCCGGGCCCGCCGAGCCGCCCCCTGCGGGCCCCGCCGCGCGGTCTGGCTGATTGGCCGCGGGCGGAGCGCGCAGGGCGGAGGCAGCAGCGGCCGCGCTGGGCGGGGAGGAGGCCGCCGACACGGGTGCGGAGCGGCCCCGGCCCGGCCCGCGGGGAGAGATGGCTTCCTACGTGGATAACAGCTTCCGCCAGGCGGTGATGAAGAACCCCGCGGAGAGGACCTCCCAGGTGAGACCCGGCGGGACTTGGGCGCGTTGGTGCCTCTTAGGCTGCGCGCGCGCCCCCCCCCCCCCCCCATTCCTCACATCTCCCCCCTTCCCGACACGGTTCGCCCCGCTCATCCCGCTCCTCCTGATCGGACCTCCAACTTCCAGTTACATCCCAGCTCCGAGTCTCTCCCCCTGGCCAGCCTGGGTTTGTTTTTCCGCCTCCTGGATCTTCTCCTTTTCTTGCCCTCCCCATTCCTGACTCCCCCCCTGCGTTTGCCCGGCGGAGGGAATTGTCCAGTTAGCTCCCCCTCTCCCCAGCCGCACACCCGGCCCCGTGGGTCTTGGGGGCCTTGGAGAGAGGAGGTGTCACCTCCCCTGGGTTGGCCACTCTGGCCGCGGGCCCCTTCCTTCTCGTGCATGTGGCCCCGTCGGCCTGCAGAGTTTGGAGGTGTTGGAAGAGGTTTTGCAGGAAACTTGTGTGCTTCTGCGAAAGGCTTATCAGTGTTGGCCTTCTTGTAACGAAAACCATTAAGGTGTTTGTGTGTTTATGATTTTGCTCTTGTGAAAAAGGGATGCAGCTTTCCAATGGAAGGGGGTGGTGGTGGTGGGAAGTTGGTGCTTTTAGTTTAAAATGCAGACATCCGTGCAGGGCAGGCATTCCACACGCACCCCCGGGAAGGGCACCTTGCGGATTCCTTTGGCGTTGCACAACCTTGTCAAAATTAGATAAGTTTGTTCACCTTTGTGCACTCGTTTACCTTCAGGCCTGTTTTCCTCTTCCTGGAACTGGAGGAATTGCCGTTGGCATCGGACTTGGCCGTTTCAAGTTGGACTAGCGAGGGGAAATTTTATAAAATTGTGGTGGTTTGATTTTTTTTTTTTTTGCTCTTAGTTGCTGACTAGAGAATGACGCATATTCCTAAGCGTTAGGATGGTGACTACAGGATATCTCGTTGCCAACCCTCTTAAGACAAATAAGCCCTTCTGATCCTTGGGACCATCAGACGTGTAGGATCTAATTGTTGAAAGAGTCGCTGCGCTTGTTCAGTGTTGCATGCCATCTGTTCAAGTCCAAACGCTCTTCTCTGACGTTGATTACTGTTACTTAATGTCGGGGAGGACGGAGTAAAACAGAATCTTCTTCCATTGGCTGCCTTTGGACAAGGCCCAGCGATGGCACCTGGTACTGTTTTTTATTTTTATTTTTTATTTTTCTTGATGGAGCCATCACATCTGGGGGGATCCTAGATGGATGGCACGAATTTACCAAATGTGTCGTGTACCTTCCTTATCCACAATTAGCTTTAACATTGAAACCGTATCAGTTTTCTGAAAATGCGCGTTCCCAGTTAGTGTGGTGGAAGAGCACATTTTCATGAAAGAATTCCATGCCACGGACATTAGAACCTGGCCAGCCGGGTCAGAAAATGATGTCAGAGGCCTTTGGTGGAAGTTAGAGATGGGGAAGTGGTGTTGCCTTTTGCCGATTAATTAGAATAGCAATGATTGGAAACCTACTTGGGGGGGAGGAGGGTGTAATTCACCAAACAAGACTGTAGGAGACAAAACCTTCCCTGTGACAGACAGCACGTGGATTGTGCCAAGTCAATGAGCTGTTAAACTTTCCTGTTGCTGAGCCAGTTGTGTAGAATAAAAACGGACCCGGCACAGAACTTGGCCTGCGTCAGAAGTGGGCCAGTGACTGTGACACCACAGGATGAAAGCTTCATTGACATTCGGAAAGCCGCACATTGCCCCCACCCAACCTGCATGGCCAAAAGTAAACAGAGGGGCCGAAACCGGTTTGGCTCAGTGGCTAGAGCATTGGAACCTCGGACTGAAAGGCCCCAGGTTTGATTCCGGTCAAGGGCATGTAGCTTAGTTGTGGGCATATCCCCAGTGGGGGGTGTGCAAGAGGCAGATGCATATCCCCAGTGGGGGGTGTGCAAGAGGCAGATGATCGGTGATTCTTTCTCATCGATGTTTCTAACTCTATCCCTCTCCCTTCCTCTCTGTGAAAAATCAATAAAAAATATTTTTAAAAAAAAGTAAACAAAGGAAAAGCTACCAAACGTTTTGTACATTCTTAAAAAAAATTATTTATTTATTTATTTATTTATTTATTTAATTACTTCAAAGAGAAAGGAAGAGGGAGAGAGAGATAGAAACATCCCCTATTAACGTTGATGTTCATTAGCTTATTACTAATGCAAACCCTCACCCTTATCTATGTTGTTTTAAAGAGAAAGTAGGTTTGAATGTTTTCCAACTTCACCTGGTTTGACATTTGAAATGGATTCAGGTAAAAAAAAAAAGAAAGTTTTAGTTGTACGTAGGTGCTTTTTATATGGAGTGCCTTGGTAATGCCAGGGCTGGGAGTTTTTCTGTACTGTCTTTTTCATGGATGCTTGAGAGCTACAATGTTGTGATGTAAGAAAAGCACACATTAAAAGGCTTGATATCACGAACAGAAGGATATGAACTGGGACAGTTTTGCTGTCATGCTTCCTTCTGTTTCTCAGGATAGACTCGGTAAAGGCAAAAAAGGAAGGGGCTTCAAAAGAAAAGAATACAGAAAGATATAGAAACAATTTTTGTTAAATTTGGTTTCTTCCTTTAAAAAAAAAAAAAACCAACAAAAAACTCCCAGCAACCCAATTTCTCTCCAAAACTTGTTGAAGACATACATAGTTTTGTATTTAGGTTACTCAGTTGCCTAAAAGTCATGGTGATGCTGCTAGTGTCACCTAAGTCGTTAGCTACCGAGTTTCCCCGAAAATAAGACATCCTCCGAAAATAAGACCTAGCGCATGGAAAGATAAGACATCCCCTGAAAATAAGACCTAGCGCAACTTTAGGAGAAAAAATTAATATAAGACACTGTCTTATTTTCGGGGAAACAGGGTAGAAGAGAATCTGCGTCGTGAGAATCCCAGTGGAAACACGGGACTTTGACAGTCGGGGAGCTTCTCAGGCCCACCTGGAAAATAGGAACACACTTTATTTAGGCACGTCATTAGGGACAAGGAATGGTAAGGAGAAATGGAAAAATTGCCACCTGACTCACCTGATCTTCTGAGAGGAGGAAAAAAGTCAACTTTTTAATCCAAGTGGGTCCCATATTGTGTGTCTGGAAATCTCACTAAGTTCCAGTCAATGGGGCGCTGTGTTCTGCGTAACAAACCTGTTTGTACATGATGAACACCCTAAGCGTTCTACTGATGCTTTTCAGTGCACCTCTGTTGAAAAACAGGGCTCTTAAGTCATTGCTTTATTAAACTATTTGGGTTTATGTCTTTAATCACTTAGATGGGAAGCGTGATCACCAAAGCAATTTAGTGAGGTAAAAGACGTAAATAAATTACCAACAGCTTTATCCCTCAAGGCTTCAAACAATAAAATGATTTTTCTAGACCATTTTATTAAGTTGTTGAGTTCAGATCCCTTGAAATTGCTTCTGTAGAGTGTTTAAACACGTAATGTTTTCAGTTTTTCAGGTGAAACATTTATTGTGTAATTGTTTCCTCTTACTTTAAAGACCTAGTAATTCATTGTATTTTTAGCTATTGTAGCTGT